GTAATTGGGTATTGTAACAATCGATTCGTTCCATAGACCATCAAGGTTTGTTCAACTTAGACTCCGCTTTTATTTTCTCTTCTTCCTTATTGTTTATTTATTTGCACATTCGTTTCTCTTTTTCCACTTCACGGGCATCGATTCATTGATATTTGCGCAGTCATTATTATATGATTGATCCTTTTCTTTTCGCAATGTTCAAGGTGCATTGTGCGTAATTCCTCGGAAATCAAGAATAAAACGCCTTATCGCATCCCCTTCTGGCGGTCTCTTGCTTCCGTTTTCCGATGGTCGTCTTATCGCTACCGTTTATTTATGGAAATCATCGCGACTATGGAGTCGAAGTTTTCGTTTCGCCATTTTACAGCTCTGTTTTTATATACTAAACTTAACTTCACCTAATCTAAATTATTGAACATCCACTGATTCTTCTTTTCATTCGATATAACATGAATGTTACTATGCGGAGCTACAGGCAAATGTGAATCCGATTGGTTGTAACGAATTAGACTATGGTTGCAGTTAGTGCGTCTTCTGATGAATGAAACATCCGAAGACTGAGATGCGTATACTCGTAAGATTTATGTATTTACATTATACATGACATATTCGATTGGTTTGACGTATTCGTCATATAATTCGTTGTACAGGCTCCTACGAATATGATGGTATTTCGTTCTCCGGATGTTCCTTTCGTCAAGATACGCATCCACCATAATCGTAGCCCAGATTCACTTCGATCTCGCACAATGTTTCACCGTAGTGTGCTATTGGACAAAATGGTCACATACTTACGTACACTAATTGTGCGTGCCGTCTTATGAATGAAATAGACCTCTACCCCCGTATCATCTCACAGTCTTCTTTCCATCTCTCACAGTACACGCGCACCTGTCTATCACAAACGTTAATTAACATCACCTGCGATGTTAATAACGCGTATCGATATCCAGCTCGTAGCTCGACAGACCATTAGCTCTCGTATTTTACCATTACCTCTTTACACGTCGCCTTTCTTCTAAATTCTATCTCATACAGCATCTCCGTTAGTCTAGTATCGTCGTTATCCTAGCAAGTCTTTCACGGAGCGCTGGGTCTGGGATACTCTCTTTCGCCAAGTCTCGCAGTCGTCCATCATTTTCTCGTATTAATTATCGAGGCTCTTTTATCCGGCACATCGGAATTTTTGGTACTGCTTTCGTGGCAGCAGATACAGGGAAGAGGTAAGGAGGAAGAAGAGGAGAGGGAGAACGCAGCAGAGGCTTTCAGGCTCGTTCTTCCGGTGCAACAACCCGGAATGCCTTCAGATCTCGTCCGCAAACGACGTCCGTCTTGTACGTGTCGGTACGTTACGGGCCATATCTCGTTCCTCTTAAGCCCCGTGCGCGTTCCATCCCCCGATATACCAATTCCACCCAGTGCTTTGCGATGGAACGTGAACTCGCTTCTGAGCCTTTCTCGTGTCTCATACACGCCGGGACACACGGAACGAGCCAGCGGAGAATCGGTTAGAGGAGGACCCGCACAGCGATAGAGCGACCGAGTAAGCTGCGAGAGAGATGACAAACGAGCGGCTCGCGATGGATAGAAAGAGAAAGAGAGCGAGATGAAACGAGAGAAGAGACGAGGCCAGGGAAACGTCGAGCAGGAGGAACCGGGCCGTGGAACGTGCACGCGGGAAAGAGAGCTCCTACCCGAACACACATCCACGGTTCTACACACACGGACAGGAGAACGCAGAACGAGAACCGATGCGGCTGTCGCGAGGAAGAAGAGTCGACGGGGGCAGGGAAGGCGGCTGGTTGGAGTGTCAGGAACGAATCCAGAGGGGGATAGAGAGAGAGCACGAGCGAGCCCGGCGATGCGACGGACGGTGCGAACGTGGAAAAGAGAGAAGAGGAAGAGCTTAGAGAGAACGAGAGCGCGCATTGTAAACGAGGAAGACGGCAAAGAGAGAAGGACGAACGCAGCGAATCGAGAGAACGAGCATAAGTGAAAGAGGATCGAGAGAGCGTGTATATATGTGCATCGCGGACGAAGAAGAAAGAGAGATGACGGCAGAGGCGTGCAAAAGCACGAGTGAGAAAGAAGAAGCGTAGCTACAGCTATACAGCTACAGAGAGGAACGAGGGACACGGCCAGATAGAACTCGAGCTTCGAAGAGTAGTAGCGCGTGCTCACAAACTCAGCCAGCGCCTCTCGCACAGCGTGTGTCTCCCCGATGTCCCTCTCCTCTCCTCCCTTGATCCGCCGGTGGTACGCTTCTCTCCTATGCTCTACTACGCGCGTTCGTCGTCGTCGTCGTCGTCGTAGTCGTCTCACTCATCTCTTGGCCCCGCGTCCGCCTAACCAACCTCATCCCACCTAGCCTTTACCATTTCCTCCTCCTCCTTCTCCTCTCTCTTTTCCCCGTTCCTGCCACGCTCTATCTCGGTCCGCTGCTACGCTTCTCTCCCGGTCCACCCACCCACCGACCCACGAAACCGCTCGTTCCCGCGCGTCGACTCACCCCACGTACACCAGAGGCTCACTCCCTATTACTCGGCTCTGCTGCACCGTTCTCTCTTTTTCTTGCCCTCCGCGGTTCTTTTTCTTCCTTTCCTCCGGCACCCTTTCTCTACCGGTTATGCTCCCTTCGTTTACGCGTTTTCTTTCTTCGCGTCACGCGAAGAAAGGTATACACAAAGAGAGGTACAGGGGAGAAGTAATCTTTTTCCCGCGTTCTCTCGTTCTCTCGTTCTCTTCTTCGGCTCTTCTTCGGCTCTTCTTCGGCCTTTCGATCTCTTCTCATCGCTTCCATCTCTTCACCCTTTCGCGTCGTCCTCCTTCGACTCGCCACGACCTCTCTTCGTTCGTGTCACCACTGCTCGGTCGTCGGTTCGCTCGTTCAACGGCTACAAGCAGCATAGGCGCCCAGAGCCGACCGACAGCCAGCTCCTCGCGATTATCTTTTGTCCGATCGTACCTACGTGCGTGTGCACGTCGCTCCGCAGTATGCTTGTTGCGCGCGAGATGAAAGCGCGAGCAGAGAGGCGCACGCACTGGATACCGGATACACATGCTCGTTTTAGTTTCTCTCCTCCATGCATCTGTCTTCCTCATCGTCGTCGTGGTCGACGTGCTCGTTCGTACTTCTCGTTGCTCTCCATCGCCGTCGTCGTCGTTGGCTCGTCGGTCGTCTGTATGCATGTATCTGCG